ACATACAAATATAAAAGTCTTGCTGATTCATATTCTTTCAATGCTTGGTCAGATACTAAAGCTTTGTTAATTTAGTGTATATAAAATTATGTCTTATTGTGTCTTAATGCCTATCCTGATTAATAAGGTAGGATATTGTAATGGTTAGTTTAATGTGCCAATTTAACTACAGTATCCAGTTATTTAATCAAACACCAATCTAGATGTTGCTATGAAATTATTTTTCACATACAGTTAAATATTTACAACCAACTKATTTAAGTAAAGGAGAGATTGCTGTAGGTAAGGTGGGTAGGGCCTCATGCAATCAGTTAAAGGCTATAAGATCAAAACTAATGTTTCCTGGCATAGAAATTCTGCCTTAAGACTACAGAAGTTAGGTCCAGTAGTGGATTCCTGTAATCCCTGTGACTAGGGTGGCTGAGGCAAGAGAATCATAAGTTCGAGGCCAGCCTCAGCAACTCGGCCAGACATTTAGCGACATAGTGAGACTGTCTTTAAATAAAAAATAAAACAGGGTGCGGATGTAGCTCAGTAGAAGAGTGCCCCCAAGTTCAATTCCCAGAAAACAAACAACAAAAAAACTAAACCAAATACTCCCTACAGATCTTGGACTGGCTAGCCCCCACAATCATGTGAACCATTTCTTTAAAATAAATCTTTACACACACATATTTTACAGTGTATATATCCTATCGCTTTTGTTTCTAACCCCAAGTGATGCAGGCATCTTTTCATGTTTATTTGCCAATTCTTTATTTCATCTTCTAAAAACATTTACTTATCACTATTACCAGTTTTTCTGCTTGTCTTTTTCCCCTCCTTGAAAAATTTTTAAAAACACCTGAATATTCATTCTTTGTAATTAATGGAATTATAACTATACTGTCCTACTATGTGGTCTGTCATTCTATTTATTTGTGAGGACTTCTGGTGACGTTTTTCATTTATCACTCTATTCCCTTAAATTTGTAGGTTTTGTGCCTTAAGAAGTCCTTTCCTATAGAAAAAGATATTTTCTTTTGTTTCCCAAGAGTTTTGATTTTTTTTTTTCACATTTCAGCATTTAGTCAGTTTGGAATTAGTTTTCATATGGAAATTAATTTTATTTTTTCCCCATGTTGACAACCATCAAGCCATAATTCTTTCCTCGATGATCAGCAAAGCTGTCTCTCTCAAATATCAAGTTCTCAGGTACACATGAATCTGTTTGCCTCTTGCTTCTGTCCCATTAGAAATTCTGTCTTTCCTGTGCTAATATCATACCATCTTAAGTGACATAGCTTTGTGATATCCCATAAATCAAATACCCGCTCTATTGATGTTGCTTCTAGTTTGGGACTATTCAAAATAAAAATCAGGAATCAAGTTTGAGTAAAATATACATAGAATTGTTGAATTATATGKTAGATATATGCTGCAGCTTGAATATGGTTTCTTCTCTCCAAAACTCATGTTGGAGTTAATCCCCATTGTAAGGATTAAGAGGATGAAAACTTAATCTGGTAAAGATTTTTTAGAGGTAGGGCCTTCAGGAAGTGAAGAGGACCAGATAAAGTCTTCAGGGTAGAACCCTAATGTCTAAATATTGGTGGCTTTATAGGAGAGAGAGACCAGAGGATACACATGAATGCTCCCAATCTCCACGTGATGCCCTGTGCTGCCTTAGGACTTTGCCAGCAAGAAGGCCATCATCACACTGGGCTTCAATCTTGGATCAGAAGATAAGCCTCTTTTCTCTATTATTTAGCCAGGCTCAGTTTTTTTTTTAAACTAATATTGTATTTGTTTATCCTTAATATAAATTATACGGGTTTTCTGAAAATTATGAAACAATTATACATGCTCCATCAGAACATGATTTCCTGTTGCTCCACATCCTACCTGATATCATCCGTTATTTTACTTGACGCATTCTGGTGGGAATGCACGTGTGTCTAACTATGGTCTTACTGCCCTTTTCCTTGATGGGTAATAATGTTATGGAACTTTCCATTTATTTACTGGCCATTTGGATATACCCTTTTTTGTGTGGAAAATGTTTGTTCCAATCTTTTCCCTATCCAGTCTACCATATTTTCTTTTCTGATGAATGCTTTTTGGGTCCTGTTTAGAAATCTTTACCTACTCAAAGTCATAACATTATTGTTCTTCTGGAAAGTGGATATTCTTTTTTGGTTTTTATTTTGTTTCAATTTTAAAGATTTGCTCTTTTTAGATATACATGATGTCAGAGTGTATTTTGACATATTACACATACATATACATATACATGGAGTATAACTTATTCTAATTAGGATCCCCTTCTTTTGGTTGTACATGATGTGGAGTTTCACTGGTGGTGTATTCCTATATGAACATTGGAAAGTTTTGTCCAATTCAATTCTACTGACTCTCCTATTAGCATTTACATTTGGGTGATGATTCATCTTTAAAACCTTTTTCTAAATGGTTTTAGGTAGGGAATCAACTTTCGGCATATGATTATCTAACTGCTCCAGCATCATTATAGGAAAGGCCATTCTTATCCTTGCTGAACTGCTGTGTTGCATGTGGGTTAATTTCTGGACTCTCTAGTGTATTCCACTGGTCTGTGTGTCCTTGTACCAATATCACACTCTATAAATTACTATACTTTTAAGTGAGTTTTGAAATCTCATTGTGTCTTTCAACTTTTTTTCTTCAAAATTATCTTAGCTATTCTAAGTCCTTTGCAATTATATATAAATTTTAGAACCAGTTTATTAGTTTTCCATTAAAAAAACCTACTATGGGGTTGGGGTTGTGGCTCAGTGGTAGAGCGCTTGCCTAGCATGCGTGAGGCACTGGGTTCGACGCCCAGCACCACATAAAAATAACAACAAATAAAATAAAATTTTAAAAAATTACTAGGATTTTGAATGGTACTGCACTGACACTAAAGATCAAATTGAGAAGTAACATCTAAAAATTGAGTCTTCCAATTCTTAATTACAGAATGCTCTTCTATTTATTTGCATCTTAAATTCTTCTCTAAAATATTTATGGTCTTCAGTATAGAGATTTTACATTTCTTTTACTAGATTTCTTGTACTGCATTTCATATTTTTTTGAACTTTTTAAATATTTATTTTTTAGTTTTAGGTGGACATAATATCTTTATTTTACCTTTATGTGGTGCTGAGGATCAAACCCAGTGCCTCATGCATGCTAGGCGAGCGCTCTACCACTGAGCCACAACCCCAGCCCCTGTATTTCATATTTTTGATATTAATTTACATTGATTTAAAAATGCAATAGATTTTAATTTTTAGCAATTGATAGTACATAAAAAAATAACAACATAAGTACATAAAAAGTATCATTGATATTTACATACTGACCTTGCATATATCAGTTCTTTTTAAACTTAATGAATTCTGATAGGTTGTCAAGTATTTTCTATATATGCAATTATGTCTGTAAATAGACATTTTGCATATTTATTTATTTATTTATTCTGGGGATTGATCTCAGGGTCACTCGGCCACTGAGCCATATCCTCTGCCATATTTTGTATTTTACTTAAAGACATGATCTCACTGAGTTGCTCAGTGCCTCACTTTTGCAGAGGCTGGCTGTAAACTTGAGATCCTCCAACCTCAGCCTCCAGAGTGGGATTACAGGCATATTTTGGATCTTTAGATGTTTTTAGCTGTATTGTGCTATAGCTAGCATTTCCAGTAGGATATTAACTAGTCATGATCCCAGTATTTTTTCTAATCTCAGAGAAAGATGTCAATATTTTGCCAATGAATGTGATTAATTTTGTTTTTTCTAGATAATCTTTAAGTTGAGGGGGTTTCCTTGCTATGGGTTTTTAAGTATAAATAAGTATTTAATTTTGTCTAATGCTTTTTCTGCATATATTGAAATAACCAAAATCCCATCTTCATGCCAATAATCTCCAAATTCTTATTCAAACTTCATTCCTAAGCTCTTATTTTTTGCTTTGAAACGCATTTAAAACTGCATTTTTTTTGCTTTGAACTGTACCAGAAAATAAATTTTGGGGACTCAACACAGGGCCTATCATATACTACATTTCATGATATTAGCTGAGTAGACACGGCATCAATTTTAACTTGGCTAAATTTTTAACTGCTTTCAGGGAAGTTGTTTTGCTGGAAAGTTCATTTGAAGATCCACTTTTTTTTTTTTTTTTTTTGCCAGAAGAACATTTTGATTTGTCCTAAAAAAATTAATAAACTTTCAACATTGTTATTAGCAGAGAAATAATGGTAATGTACTGATTGATTGTCTTATCCCTTGCACTTTATAGACATTATCTCATTTAATCCTAGCAATTCTACAAGCTGGATTTTATTGCTCTAATTTTAAAGACAAGGACATTGGGGCCTCGAGAAATTAGGGGACTTGTTCAAACAGCATGTGATGGAGCTGGGGTTCAACCCAGGCCAACAGAATTCAGAGCAAACACGATGAACTCCTAGACTACATTGTATCTCAGCTATCACTGTTATGAAAATAAAGTCCACAAAATAGTCATTCCTATCACATTCCTGTATCTCACTGCATCGCTGAACTCCTAACCTTAGAATGGGATACAGCAAAAACAAAGTTTGGAATGCCTACCATGCAAATTCCTTGGAGATGAGAACAAAAGCAACATAACTTCTTTTTGACAGCTAGACATCTGACTGCATCACTCCCTCATTTAAATATTTCAGTGGCTCCTCATTTCCCTTAAAATAAAATCCCAACTCCCTAATATGGCCTATAAATTTTTAATTATCTGGCCCTGCTTAATGTGCCAGCCTTAAGTTTTACCACTATCCCTCTCAAGCCCTGTGCCTCAGCCACAATGGCCTAATTTTTTCTTGTCTTCAGGACTCGGTACAACTCTTTCTCCCCCCACCATCCTTGCTGTTTATTTTCAAAATCACACATTACATACACACACACAATATTCAATCAAAAATGTATTCGACAAATCCCCAGTTTTTTTTTCCCTAGCTACTAAAAAGAAGGAATAATTCACAAATATGCATGTCATCCTTGCAGAGGAGCCATGCTAATCTYCTCTGTATCATTCCAATTACAGTTATATGTGCTGCCAAAGCGAGCCCAGGGCTTGTACATCTTTGTTCCTAGGACCATGGTGATTCTACACCCGTCTTCCTCTTTCTTCTCCTAGCTACATTCTTTCTCCCATGGTCTCAGAGGAGTTTCTCCAAGGAGACTGTCAGGTCTGGTTAGATCTTTTCCTTGTATTTCCATAGCATATTTCACCTCCCCATCCTCTACCATCCATATTTTAACTGTCTGTATACCTGTATCTTCATGACATTGTGGACTTAACAACAGTAAATATCATGTCTCTGCTTAGTGTGTAAACAGATCTCCAAGATCCAGCACTGTTTGCCAATAGCAGCCCTTTGATATTTATTAAATGCATACATATTTGTCTCTACAGATTGTCTTCATCAACTCCATTTTTCCTGAGATTATTTTCTAGTCTTAATGTAAACCAATATATGTTTAAAGTGCTCAGAAGAAAATATGAACATATATTTTATAGTTACCAAATACATAACTAATTTCTGGAAAAAACATACATTAAATTAATTAGCATTACATAATCTATCTATGAGTTTTTCCTATGAGGAAGAGGACTTTAATCTCTAGGAGTTAGATTTAGATAGTCTTCTGTTCCAAAGAATAACCACACATAAATCACAATCCCTTCTTCATTAATGTGTAAAATAATTTCCTTTCAAGTGTTACCTCCATGTACTACTGTATTCATTTTGTATTTCTGTGAACAAAGACCACACATTAAGCTGCTTAAAATGACAACTATTTATTATCTCATAATTCTTTAAGTCAGATATCCAGGCAGGCTCTACTGGGTTCTCTTTAGGATTTCCCAAGACTGATGCAAGCTAGGTTCTTATTTGGAGGCTCTGAGGAAGAATCCCTTATCCCCTTCCGTTCATTAGAGGTCCTTGTGATTGTAGAACTGAAATCTYTATTTTCTTGCAGCCTGTCAGCTAGGGATCACTCCAGCAACAAAAGATTACTCTAAATCCTTGTGGTAGATACTCCAACTTCAAAAACAGCTCTCCTGAATCATATCTTTCCTAAGCTTCAATTCTCTCTGACATCTCCTTTTGCTACCAGCCTGAGTAAGCACTACTTTTATAGGACTCATGTGATTAGACTAGTCATACCTAGTAATGTTTTTTCATTTTATTTTTTGTACCAGGGATTGATAACCACTGAGCCACATCCCCAGCCCTTTTTATTTCTTATTTTGAAACAGGATCTTACTAGGTTGCTTACATACTTGCTAAGTTGCTAAGGCTGGCTCAGTAGGCCAAGGCAAGAAGATCACAAGTTCAAAGTCTGCCTAAGCAACCCAGTAGAGCCTGCCCAGATATCTGACTTAGACTGAGGCAACTCTTGCCTCAGCCTCCAGACCCTCTGGGATTACAGGAGTGGTCACCACACCCAGCTAGTAATGTCACTTTTGACTAACCCTAAATCAGATTAGCGACCTTAACTAGATCAGCAACAATTCATTTTTACCATGTAACATAACAACGGCACATGTAATACCCCACCACAGTTACAGTCCTTTGGATTAGGACAGAATATCTGTAGGGACCATTTTTAGAATTCTGGCACAACTGATACTACTACTGCTAGATATCTTTTACTATACCCTACATGTACTTGACACAAGCTATCTTAATAAGTCAGGTTTCGAAGCTCCAGCAGGGTTTGGAAGGCATTTACACATGAAGGAAGCTTGCATAGAGTATTAGAAGTGAGGAGGTCCTCACACAGGCAGGATGACTCTGAGCAGGAGGTGAATATGGAGAGGAGGCAGGCATTTGCAGGAATGACGGGAAACTGAATACATAAAAGGGGGCTGATCAAGGATAATGAACATCAAATTTGTGTAAGARAAAGGAGTTACAGATAGGGAACAGAATGAAGCCATACAGAATGAACTGTACGGTGTTGGATTGCTTTCTTCTTTTGTGGTGCTGGGGATCAAATCTAGGGCCTTGTGCATTCTAAGCAAGTACTCTATTACCAAGCTACACCCTTCTCTGCCCACTGTAATTTGATGTGAGGGGGAACTTATTATTTTCAATAGACAGATAGGTATAAATGTATGTGTACGTATATGCACATGCACACATTTATAGCTGCTCTATCAAAATGAACTGCCCCCTTGAGACCTAATGGCAATGAGAAATCTAGATTCCACAGATCTTGGCTTCTCAGTAGTATTTTCCCCTAAAAGAAATCAGGCACTGCATTATCTCAGAAAAATCATTAGACACTTGAATCAAATGTATGAAATATGATATGTCAAGAGCTATGTAATGTTTTGAACAACCAATAAAAAAAAGAAAATCATTAGAAAAACAGCATGATGACATTCTAAAATATTACTGATCCAAACTGCAAGGTCATGAAAAGAAGGAAAAACTGTCATTGAATGGAGGCTTAAGGAAACAACGTGATTAAAAGAAACATGGCATCCTTTGTTGGATCCTGGAACAGAAAAAGGACATACGTGAAAAAACTAATAAAATACAAATAGTTGGGGCTGGGGTCATGGCTCAGTGGTAGAGTGCTTGCCTTGTACATGTGAGGCACTGGGTTCGATCCTCAGCACCACATATAAATAAATAAAGGTATTGTGTCCAACTACAAATAAAAAATAAATAAATACAAATAGTCTATTGTTCAGTTAATAATAATAACAAATACCAAAGTAAATTTCTTAATTTGACTAATATACCTAGGTTTTATACAAGATATAACATTAGGATAAACTAGGTAAAGGATATATGGTAAATCTAGGTAGTATCTTTGCAACTTTTTCTGTAAATCTCAAGTGTTTCAGAAATAACAACTTATTTTCAAAGAAGACACAGGAGCTGAGCATGGTGGTGTAATCCTATAATCCTAGCAGCTCAGTAGACCAAGGCAGGAGGATCACAAGTTCAAAGTCTGCCTAAGCAACTTGGCTGGGCCCTAAGCAACTCAGTGAGACTTTGTCTCAAAATCAAAAATAAAAAGGGCTGAGAATGTGGTTCAGTGGTTAAGTGCCCCATAGGTTCAGTCCCAGTAACAACAACACAAAAAGACACAGGAACAAGCTTAAAGAGGTTCCTACTGCCCAAATTTAAAACAATTTAAGCATCAACATGAGTAACGATAGTATTCCCAAATGATTAAAGGAAAGAGAATGTGCAGTACATACCATTTTTCTAAATTTGAGATTATTTCAAAATTTTAAAATTTCCATGCACATGTTTTTATTGCCATCACTTTTAGTGTAGTACAGGTTGCAGAAAACTTAGAAAATATAAAATCAGAGAAATAGAAACTAATTTGGAATCAATAGAGTGTAGTTAGTTAAACTAGTAAGGTAATAGAAGATCCAAAGTCCAGGAAATAAAGGCAGTCTGGGAACTAAAAGCAGATAATCACCACAATGAGTTGAGAGAGACATAAAACCCAACTTTYCAGGGCAGGGGGGTAGGGTAGGATAGAGGGGGGGCAGGAAAAAGAGAGACAGTGAAGGCAAGGACAAATACAGGTTCAGTGAATTCTAATGCTATTTTGGCATTCAGGTGGTAACACACATCTAGCAGTAAGTTCTCAAGACACAAAGAAAATGCAAAGAGGAAAAGAAGTTTACAAATCTAAAAACAATGATACTAAATAAACACAAAGTTAAGCATAAAGTACCCAGAAAATAAGTTTAAGGGCTTTCAATAAGTTGCATAAATAAAATCTAACAAGAGGCAAACTTTTTTTTTTAGCAAGAAATCCTCATTGAGAAAAACACTAAATTATACAATAAATACTGTTCATGATGTTTTAAAGAGAAACATCTTTGTACCAATCTCTGAATTTTAACAAGTGTGAATGGGGAAATATTACACTGTAACTCCCTGAAAACTTTTAAGAGAAAAATTTATTGAGCATCCACTCTGTGCCAGGTGCAGTTTCTAAAGGGTCAGTCATGGATTACTGCATGACCAGAGAGCAATAAGCTTTGATCTCTAACATGAAGTGTTTGACAAAGGACTTAAAAACAAACAAAACAAAACAAAAAAAGTCAAGGAACCTTATTTGCATTCCTGCCCAGATGGAGAATCACCCCACCTATGCATAAATGTGGCCCACAGAAATTTCTGATGAAGACACTTCTCAATAAGCAGCTCTGGATCAGGTGATGTTCCAAAGACAAGATCAGAATCATGCTGATCTGCAACAACAACAACATTTTTCAACCTAGGGTCTACAGTTCTGTGGTGAGATCAAGATAGGCCACAAGAGATCCATAACCCCCTGAAGTTACATGCAATTTTTTCAGAGAGAGGGTTTATATTTTCAACATGCACATAAGACATAGACAGTTGAATGATAGCATAATTACAAGTGAATTGTCTAAAACGCTAACATAGTCTTACACTTCAAAATTTATTCATCCAACAAATCAAACCTAAGAGCTTGCCATATATGTGTCAGACACATTAACAGGAGTGTAGCACTTCAGAACAAAGTAGGTGAGTAGTCCTCTTCTGTTCTATATTTCCCTTGCAACATGTATCAGGTTCTAGGTTAAACATTGGTGATACAAAGGTAAATAGGACATGATCCTTGCCCTTTGTAATGCTTAGAATACAGTGTGTGCAGGAAGGAATTATAGTATAATACAGTGTGAGATAAGAATATGAGCTTTGGAATCAAACAAACATTAGCCCTCCAGTCTACCACTTATTAGTCAAATGATCTGGGGTACTTCCTTAATATTAATTCTGCATCTGTTTCCCTATCTGGAGAAGAAATTCTGATTTGTAGGTTTAAAATGAGGATTAAATGTAAACAATGCTCTAAACACAATGCCTGGCAATGGTAGACACAGAAAAAAACTGAGCTATTACTGCAATTATAGACATCCAGAGGAAAAAGAAGTTTATTCAGGCTGGGAGAACTCAATGAAGACTATCACGTTTTAGAAAATGTAATGACAAAAGGATGATGGTATTTTTAGAGAAAAATAACTGAAAAGATCAGGAAAGTTGGAGTCATG